GAGGCAGTTCATTGCGGCAAATCAGCAAACAACTTGTGTGTATTCTGTGCTGTTTTTGAGTCTGACAGGCCCACCATCTCTGCTAGATGCTGATGAGCTTGCAGAATCACCCTACACTTTTTGTGACGACTCACTGTTGTTTAAACTCTCTCTCTTTCTCTCCCCCTCTCCCTCTCCCTCTCTCTCAGTACGAGTATTCGGCACGTTGGTCAACCAGGGAAGGGCCCTGCCTGCCCTAAGAGAAGGCAGGCGTGCAAAAATGTGGTCCGTCCTGTGTACAGGGCAAAATGAGCAGAATGGGGGCCCTGGTAGTTGCTGCATGTGTGCAGCATCTTCAACGTGGTAGGCCCAGCCCATGAGTTAGTGGAAGATGCTGGACCCCGTGCGACAACTTTCCTGCGACTATTTGCCTGCGCTTGAATTTTTCTTGTCATAGTTCCTTCTGCATTTCTTTGTTTAATAATTGGTGGTCTTGTGATTACTGCCCCTTTAGTCAGTTATCATTCGGGCATGAATTTTGAGCCCGTGGGGTGTGGGGAAATGTTGCGCTGCATGAGCGGCTGCTCAGCGTGTGCACCCGAAGAAGAAGCCGCGTTGTGGCAGTAAGGAGGACAACAGGGAGAGCGGCAGCCATGTCCGGGCCGCCCGCTCCATAGCTGAGTGGTGGCGTAGCGGAGGTCCTTGGTGGAAGAGGGGCGTGGGCGAGAAGGAGGAGAGGCAGTGTGACGTAGCACCTGGTGTTGATGAAGACAGGCTGTTCAATCAGAGTCTTCAAGCAGCATTTGGCTGATTGAAACGGTTTCACCCAGTTTACCCGGCAGATGCAGACATTAGGGCTCGATCCCTAGACCTATCCCGTAACCCTGTACATTGACCCTGTGACCCTATGTGAGATTTGAACACACGACCTGTCCCTAAACCCTGTAGGTTAGTTAGTAGGGTCGTTAGTTCGTCGTTAGGTCTTGATCCATAGATCTTTGTGGTAGCAGTTTAGCATGATACCGCTAGGCTTAGTTAGTCAGCCTGTAGGCTTCTAGAATATCGTAGACCCAGCCTACCGTATCTGAGTCAGCAAGTCAGTCGGTTCACCTTGCACAGTCAGCAAGTACCAATGGGTGTTCCACCTGGTATGGGCCTATCAGGTCCATGCGGTTTCAGCCCTCAGGCCCGCGCGGTTTGGGCCCTGCTGGGCCACGCGTTTTGGCACATCCCCAGGCCCACGCGTTTTGGCCCAAGGCTGGGGCAGAGCAGACCACCTGTGAGTAAAAATAAAGAGGCAGCGTACAGCCATTTATTCATTCGCCTGTGAGCCATGCAGAAGCGCTGCTGGAGCTACTTCTGCAGTGGAGGTCTTCAGGTGCCCGAAGTGGGCTGAGGAAGACCATAGCCGCCAAGCTGCTAACGTCATCAGAGTGTACAGTGTGTGTGTGTACTGCGTGGACATTCAGGGTGGATCTTCGTGAGTGTGTACGTGAGGGAGAGTGAGGCTGATGGTGTAGACAGTGTTCGGCTGGGACTTCAGACAGTGTACGGCAGCCATAGCCGCAAGTTGTAACAGTTGACTTGAGCTGAGTTTCTGGCCACAGGCCATATCTCTGAGTTTTCTGTGTGGGCGCATGTCGCCAGTGCAAGTTCATTGCTAATTCTGAGTTGACGAAGTTGGTTTGCCATTGGCACATACATGTATGCATGTTGTAAGCAAGATTGAGACAAGTCTGATTTCAGATGACTTGTGGACCTGTTGCTGACATAGTAGGCTAGATTGATAGGAGTTATAGGAGGTAGAATCGATAGTAGATCTTCCTGTAGGACGGCTACCTTGTTGTTGTATTGGTGATTGAAGGTGTTGGAAGGTCTTTCATTATCAAGAGACTTCAGTGATTTGTTCATTAGTATATGGAGTGAATCTTGCTTTGATTTCTGCTTTCAATTTTGGCTCAACGGTGTCTGGTCTTCTGTGAGATGTCGCAACTTCCCTACACTTATAGAAATTGCTATTCAGTACGTGAGATTTGGCCGATCGGGGCCGCCTGCGGTCTACTGGCTGACGGTCCGGATTTCCGCGCGATCTTAAGACTTTAAGACTTTAAGACAAGACTTTAAGACTTTAAGGTCGCGTGGCGATCCAGACCGCCCTGCAACGGGCCCTATTTCCAACGGGCGCGCTGATTGGGCTGATTGCAGGGCGCGCCCGTTGGAAATAGGGCCCATTGCAGGGCGGCGGTTTCCCTGCATTGAAGTCCAACAGCCCCTCCGCCTGCCCACCTCGACTCCACCACCGGCGCCCACCTTCCGCCGCCCCCCACCTCCCTTCCGCCTCCTCCAGCCATCCGCCACTGCCCACCATCTCCTCTTGGCCTCTGCCCACCATCTCCTCTCCACCTGCTCCCACCTCTTCTCCGCCCGGCGCCCACCTTGCCTCCACCTCCACCCACCTCCTCTCCGCCTCCTCCTGCCATCTCCTCTCCGCCTTCGCCACCTCCCCTCCGCGACCGCCCACCATCTCCTCCCTGCCTCCACCCACCTCTTCTCCGCTCGGGGGCCACCTCGCCTCCGCCTCCGCCCCCC